AGAGACATTATATAGAGATTATATAGAGACAAAGATTAAATCCTGTTGCTCTCAACGTCTGCCTCTGCCTCGTCTACCCCAATGGTAATTGGGTGATGACAATTTATATAAGAAGGCCATGAACCTTTCTTCTTGGCGTCGTATCCCCGCGGCTCTGCCTCTTGGTCTGCGAACTGTAAAATAATAAAATTGTATAAGAAATTTTATGAATTAAATACATATAATATGAATTAAATTTTTTATATATTGTAATTATGTGAAATTATGTGAAATATATATTGAAAAGACAGTACTTACCATTTGTACTTTCGCGATTTCTCTCACAATCAGTATGAAACGGTGGTTTCGTTGGCTCCTGCCTCTTTTCAGAGGACAATACGGCCAGTATTTGCCACTGTTTGTTATACAAAGTCTGGAATGAAATCGGCGACGATGGCGGGTAAAGTGTTTAAAAGCGTGGAATACCCTTATAGGGTAGAGAGCCTTTCAGACTATATTCGGAAACTTCACTCTGGCCTAGTTTATATTGATCACTTGATACGCGTATTAAATAGTAAATAACTAGTAAATTAGTTTGATTATTGGTTTGATACGCGTATCAAGAGATCGGTGTAAACTAGGTCATTCGAATACATACCAGCGTCGTTCTGGAGCCTTATTCTCGAATCGTTTTCATGAAACTCGCATGTGAAATTCAATGTTTTTCAAATAGAAAGTCGCACACGAAAATCATTAGGGCAGGCTCGAGAATACGGTCCCTGTCCTTGTTCAATTTTTAGTAACAAGATAAAGCGATGCGGTGTGCACTCGAATATAGTTTTTGAATGCAGCCCTAAAGGCTCTATCTATACACGCCGATAACGTCGCCGCCGATCATGTCACCATCGATCACGTTGCTGTCGATCACGTCGCCTATCACGTCGTCGTTGATTACATTATTCGTGGTTGTTGCGTTCCGCGTACGCGTTACCGGTTCCTACGCTTTGTTGACAAATACATTGTGGGATTAATAGCAGAGAAGAATTCTCTCTGTTGTTATTATTAATAGTATTTCGTCGTTGTTCGTGGCTCATAAGCTATTTCACAAATAGCTTACAATCTCATCATATCTGTGAGTGAAGGTTATATTGTCGATATATTGCGATATCTCTGAGACAATATCTTTTTCTGTGAGTGAGTGAATTGTTAACAGATTACATCCAGCGGACGGTGAGTCGCGTCAGCACCGCTCCTGTTATCTTATACCCATAACGAGGCCCATAACAAGGTAACTATTTTTTTAAGGTGCCTTTTCACGTTGACACTCAACGCTCATTTTCAGCAAGAAAAAATCTTCAGAAATAATATATGTATCTATAAGATATTATTACTTGAAGATATTACTCGAAAAAAATTAACTCTAATCCATCCAACGTTTTTTCCGTCACTTCATTCCGCCAATCATGCACTTTTGTGTCTCACGCATTTTTCAGTACTGTTAACAGCTTTGAAAAATTCTCAAAAAATTATTATAGTATTTTTATACCTTCGACTAAAAATCAATGTAAAGAAGATTTGGAAATTATTTATTTAAATATTTTTTTACAACAATTATATGTTGAAAGACGCACGTTACTTGTTTTATTTAAAAAATCATAACTCACGAACAAATTTACAAAATTTAATGCTTCAAAGCGCAAATTAAAGCTAAAAGTAGTGCGAATGAGAAAAAATATGAGATAATTATTGATTAAATAAGAATACTTAATTTTGTCGCCGCAAATTTGGTAATTTTTAAATGGTACAGAAGAACTTTAAGGACTTAAGGGGGTCGTCTAGTCAAGAGGCTGTGTTTTTTT